CGACTTCGTTTAGGATTTTTAAAAAGTCAAAAACTAAATTCGATTTAAAGAAAATTTTTAAAAAAATATAAAGAAAAGCTGGATTTTTTTTTTGTCATTTTTTATCATGAGATATATGGTCCCTGAGTTCACCTGTATTCTTCTAGAAATGAATTGCTGTTTTTTGCAGGGGTATGAGGTGTTTTAAAAAACTTCAAATGCAAAATTTGAAAAAAAAAAAAAAAAAAACTTCAAAAAAGGGGTTTGATTGATTGATTGATTGATTGTGAGTGAGTGACTGTGTGTGTGCGTGTGTATGTGTCTGTGTGTGTGTGCGTTTGTGTGTGTGTGTGTGTGTGTGTGCGTGTGCGTTGGGGGGGCGACCCATCCCCCACCAATCAATCAATCAATCAATCAATCAGAAAAAAAAAGGAAAAGTAAAAAAAACGAGAAAAGCGGGCAGTTTTTCTCACACACACACACGCACACGCACACACACACACACACAGGGCAATTTTTTTACTTTTTTTTTCACTTTTTTTTTTCCACGCATATTCTACCACGTATCCGCGGCCCATTGGGCCTGACCCGTTGATCGGATTTCAACGGGAAGCCCCCGTTGTACCGTTCAACGGGGATTCAACTCGGACCCCGGGGGTGTACAACGGGTACAACGGAGTTGTACAAAACCCGTTGCGAGTTGAATGGATACATAGCAACAAAGTACGTCCCGTGCATTCGATCGACGACGCACGGAAGAAGGAGCTTCTTGCCTTCGTCCACGCCCTCAAGCGTTGGTGACATTTCCTCCTTGGTCGGAAACCATTCCGATGGGTAACGGATAATAATCCGTTGGTATTCTACAAGTCGCAAGACACGATTAACAGTACCATTGCCCGTTAGATGACTTTCATCGACCAGTTTGACTTTTTCCCCGATCACATTCCCGGGAAGTCAAACCGTTTTGCGGATGCCCTCTCACGGTGACCGGATCTTTGCACCGCAGTCTACTCTACCTTCGAGATCGATGACGACTTGCGGGAGAGCTTCATCCGCTGCTATCAAGCCGACCCCCACTTTCGCGACAAGTACGCGAATTGCTCCTCTCCGAATCCGGTGCCTTCGCATTATCGGATCCAAGAGGGCTACTTACTTGTGCATTCATGGGAAAAGGATCTTCTTTGTGTGCCGAGTCATTCACACTTGCGCACACGGCTTCTTGGCGAGTTTCACGATGCGCCCGCCTCCGGACATTTTGGTGTCAATCGTACACTTGGTCGACTTCGCTAGCGGTTCTATTGGCCCGACCTTCTCAAGGACGCCACCCACTATCGTGAGTCGTGCGAAGTCTGTCGGCGTTGCAAATCACGCAACCATCGTCCGTTCGGCGAGCTACACCCATTACCAGTGCCCCTTGGGCGACGGCAAGCAATTGCTATGGATATCACCGGCCCCTTCCCGAAGCACAAGACCGGCGTTGATGGGATCCTCACGGTCGTCGACCGCCTCACCAAGTACGCCATGTTTTTGCCTCGCCGGTATCACGCAAAGGCACCGGAGTTAGCCGAGGTCTTATACACCGGTTGAATTTGCTCCAAGGGCTACCCTAGCGAGATCGTTTGCGACCGGGACACTCGCTTTCTCTCCGACTTTTGGGTCGCCCTCGTCAAGCGATGGGGCTCATCTTTGAAGCCGAGTTCGGCTCGCCACCCGCAAACCGCTGGTCCAACGAAAAGGGCGCATCAGACCGCTCAAGTCCTTCTCCGCACTCTCATCCGTCCCGACCAGGTTGATTGGGTTGAGCGCTTGCCAGACGTTGAGTTGGCTTACAACTCATCGATCCATCCGGCTATCGGGATGTCGCCATTCGAGTTTGAGCATGGTTCACCCATCTCATCGCCGCTGGACGCCACTTTGCCTCGCACAGCCAAGAGCGACGACCATCTTGCGTTCCTTCGTCGCATGCAAGAGCTTCTTGTCAAGGCACGGGATCAAATGTCGAAAACGCAAATACGGATGAGCCGTCAAGCCAACCGCAATCGCCTTCCTTGCCCGTTCCGCGCTGGCGATCTGGTTTGGGTCTCCGCAGCGGAGTTCAGCCTTGAGCAAGACATCTCTCGCAAGCTCCTTCCCAAGTGGATGGGGCCTTGGCGCATTCTCTCTGCAGTTGGTGATGATCCCGAGGGGCCTTCATTCCGCATCGCGGTGCCACCTCACTTGCCCGTCCACACGGTGTTCCACTGTTCCAAACTCGCTCCTTTYGTTTCAGCGGAGTCCGACGAGTTTCCCGGTCGACGTACACAAGACCCTCCTTCCATGGACGGATTTCAGGAGGCGGGCTACATCATCACYGACCGGCGCCATGGCAACAAAGAAACAGAGTTTGTACTTCACTTTTCCTGCTGCAGCCACAAGGCTGACTGTTGGCTGACGCGTTTGGAACTGAAGGCCACAGCTCCCGCCGTTCTCTCACGTTTTCTTAGCAAAGGGAAGACTACGCCGAGCACTCCAGCTCCTTGCCTTCCCCGCTACATTCCGCCATCGGATCGGCAGCTTCGCCCGCGCCCCGGCTCGTCTTCATAAGGAGGGGGGCGTGTTACATGCTGAAAGCCTACACACGGGSCCCTCAYGRGACCCGAGGTTGGAATAGGGCCCCCAGGTCGCGTCACCGCAACCTGAAGGCCCTATGGCATTTTTACTTGGGCCTGCATCAGAAAAACGCCAGCTTTAGATTATTTTTATAKTCTTTATTTTATTTATTTGCTGCTGTTTTTCTAACGGGTGTACTGTTGTCCGTTCCGTGGCCAGGTACACGTTTTAGGACCAGGGCCAGATTCAGGCCCAGAGGCTGAGCGCCAAAAAAAACGTTTGGACCTTTTCTTTTGTTATCGAACAGATTTCTACCTGTTCGGACCCAGGCCGACGTTGAGGCCGGGTACGTCCGCACAGGACCGGTT